AAGCTGTGGCTGCCCCATCCCTGGAAGTGTCCAAGGCCAAGTTGGATGGGGCTCTGAGCACCCTGGTCTAGTGGAAGGTGTCCCTGCCCATGGCAGGGAGTTGGAACTAAATGATCTTTAAGTCCCTTCCAACCCAGGCCATTCCATGATTCTCTCCAGGAGGAGGTTCAGTACCAACAATTGGATGGTGAAAACATACCCAACACAGTTGCACAAACCGTAGTGGAGAAAGTCCTTTTCCCTTGGGGCTGATCCCACAGTTTGACCACTTTTTCCTTTGGTTTCATCCTTGGAATGCTCAGCTGTTGTCCAGCATTTGTATCCCTGCTCTATTTGTGTGTGGGCTCACACCACCCAGGGCTGTGTTTCAGAATATGTCACACCACAGCGTCCTGCTGAGCCTTGGGCTGTTTATCCCATTTATCCGTCCCTGCCCACCCTTTTGGTGTGAATCATGCTGTTATTTATGTGTGCTGGGCTGGGTTTTTTTTTCATTTATATATATATATATCCTGTCTGTCTTTAAGAGAATTCAAATTTGGAGACAGCAGGGTTGGTGCTCGTACTCCAAGCCTTGCTGTATCCTTGCTGCTTTCCTGGATGGCACTGCAATTCTTAAATACAATCCTTGTCAGCAGTGGGTTTTAGTACCTGGCCTGGAGAGCTGCTGTGCTGTGTTGTCTGGAAGGAGCCAAGCAGCTCTCACTTCTCCCCCAGAAGAGCCCCAGCACTGAGTGATAACTGGAGTTTCTGAAGGTACCACTTTATTGAGCTCTGTGTGTTTACTTGGGAACTGGTCTGGCACCAAAAGCCTCGCTCCTTTCTGCTTTACCTTCTATTTCTTGAGAAATGCCATGTTTGTGCTTCATTTCAGGGGCAAGTTCAATGACATGATGAAAAAAATGGGAGTTTTCAAAGGCAGGAATATGTTCTGATACCTGCCTTATCTAGAGCCTTTCATTGAAGAGCTGCACTCCCTTGGAATTTAAATGGGTACTTCATGAACTTTGCAGTTTTACCCTTTTTACTGTAGCAGCTTCCTGACTGCTGGGCTTTAGGGATGTGCTTGGGTAGGTGAATGAAAATTCTTGGCAGCCTTTCTTTGACTTGGTATGGTTATTTGGGAGAAGGGATTGGTGTTCCCTGTCCTGCTGGTCATGTAGCTTGACATTTTAAATCCAAATGGAAGACCCAGCAACTTCATCATTTCCTGTGGGAAAAAGGTGCTTTTCTCTCTGGGGGTTTGCTCCCAGACTGAAATATGCCCTGAGTACAGAGTAAATTTATTATAGAGCTGTGGTATTATTATTCTACACACATGACTTTAAAAATAAGACTGGATTCTGTCTTCTCGTCCCTTCCTGATCAGGAAGGGATCCCACTCTGTTTCAGGAGAGATCAGTTCTCCACGTGCTTTGACTTCTTCCATCTCTCCTCTTGGGAGCAGGTGGGATTGGAAGCCTCAGTGGCTTTGCTCTCATTAACCCAAGTCTTAATCCAAGGAAATCTGAGAAAGCCATTAATGACAGGCTGTGGGAGCTGCCAAGAAGTGCCCCAGAGAGCACATGAGCTTTGAGTTACCAGTGGTGTGGCAGAGTCTGGGGGTGGGGGGTCTTAAATGGGGAGACTGTCAGGAAAACGGATTGAGAGTTTGACTTGGAGCTATTGCGACAAACGGGGGTGCAGATTGGAATAAATGCTGCTTGGCCTTTCTCTGCTTCCCAGTCAGGAATGGTCTGGGAATAAAAAGGTCAGTTAGGCAACATTATTTTACTAGAAAGAGGAGGACCCTTCTAACTGGACTGTTCTGTGATGGATCAGGAGAGACTTGCTCAGAGGAGTCTCTTGAACACTCCAGTAGCATTTGGCTGTTGTTCCCTGCTCCCCCTTGTCCTTCACGAACATCCTTGCTCTCCTCCCCTCTGTGCTGCTGTCCCACCTTTCTCTGGCTGCTGCACATCCACAGCTCCTCATTCTCATGCTGTAGGTTCTTGCTGTGATGCTGAGCAGGCACAAGGAGAAAGGCTCGGACTGGGAGTTGAGCCATCCCTGCAGGAGGCTCTGGCTCTGTTTCCAGGCCAGGAGCACATATGGAATCCCTGTTCCTGGCAGCTCTGAGCCTTGTCCCGCGGGCTGTGCCCTGCCCAGTGTCTCCTGTCCATTAGATCCCTTTGATGTCTTTCTCCTCCACATTCCCAGCCCTTTGGAAAGAAAGGTCTGTGATCCTTGTCAACCAGAGGAGTTTTGGCCAAGTGTGGCTGGTTGGATACGACCCTTCCTCGTGGGCCAGTGATGCGGCAAGAGTGGAATGGTTCCATTATGCAAGTGCCATCAATTTGGGTGAACTCAGGAGGCTTTTGAGGGCATTTCCAAGAACTCTTGGGTGGCACCTTTTCCAAGCATTCCTGTTAATGTGGTGAGGTCAGTCCAGGCTCTGTGCTGTCAATAAAAGGTCCTATTTTGAAGCTTCTTCCTTCCTGCCCCCGTCCCCTCCGGCATCATTTGTTTATAAAGCTCATGTTTAAGGGCTGTGCTTGGTTACTCTCAGCTGGCTGTTTAGTTTGGGATGTGGATTTGTGCCTTGTTTTGGGGGCTCCTTAGTGGAAACAGAGAGGCAGGAGGAAAAACTTGAGGAGGTTTTCTCAGCTGTGAGAAATCCTACAGGATTTTGCGGGATACCTTGCCAGGTCTGTGCTCTTTTCCTCTTACTTTGGGGAATCTGGAGAGTTTAGGACATTTCTTGGTTTCACAATTTTTTTTGGTTGTGGTTTTGGCTTGTTTTTTATTTTTCCACAGTGGCAGAAATAACTGGGGACACTCCTCTGTGTCTTCCTACTGTAGGAGCACAGTGAGGGGCAGCCCCACTGGTGGGTAACATGATGTGCTAGTGCTGGAATTGGGATCTCCTTTTTACAGGATTCAAATGTAAAACAAATAAGTAAAGCCCGGCAACTTTGATTTGGCAGTGCCTGAATTTGTGAGTGTTTGAAGGAGCAAACAAATCACCGGGAAATCAAAATGCAGCGTTGTTTTATCCTCCCAGGAATAAGAGACATGCAAAGGAGAAATATCCGGTGCTGGAGTGTGCCAGTTATACCTTAAGCCAGGCTTGGAATGGATTAACCTTAGGGCTGCTCTATCCCAATGCTCCAAAATTATGAGAAGGCAGGTTTTTACTTTATTAGGTTGTTTCTTGAAATAACTTAATCACAGTTTGCTCTGTTTGGTCTGGGTATGTCAACACAGTGTCGGCTTTGCTCTCATCCACCTCTTTTATATTTATATTTTCCCACCTATCAAGAGAAAAAAAAAGTGTGAAATTGTCCAAACAAACTCAACAGGGAGAACAGTGCTAAATTCTCCTAGCTTTTGGAGCCATATCCAGCATGGGTTATGTCTTTGTGTGAAGAATGGACCCCCTAAATTTTTAGTCAAGACTATTAAGAATTGACAGATCTCATCTTTCTTTAGTGAAAGACTGAAGGGTATAAAAGATTGATTAAAAAGATTGATAAAAAAATAGAAATATTGACATAATTTTGAAGCAGCTGCAATGCCATTAAATGCCATGTTTGTATCTATATAGAGATATATATTTTTATTCTCAGAATTCTGGCATCTTCAACATACACAGCTAAAATAACATCTCCGTAATAATAAAATGCCTTTATCTGTGACACAACAGCTGCATCTCTGGCAACAAATATCCTATTGTCACATCATCAAATCCAATGAAAAATCCCCAGGATGAAATCCTGTCCTTGCAGAGGGCGACAGGGAGAATCAAACCAAAAAAGCCTGGAGCAGAGTTCAGGAATCCTCCTGTCCCGCTGTGGACAGGCAAGTTTCATTCTGTGTGAAACTTCTAATCCGTTCACTTTAGAAGGTCTTAGGATCTGCTTGGATATCCTAATCCTACTTCGGGCTTTGGCTTCCTCACAATCCCCTGGTGAAGTAGAAGGATTATGTAAATAACCAACAGGAAGCCCAGTGCCTGAAGGGAGCCCACAAGGAGGATGGAGAGAGACTATTTCCAAGGGCCTGGAGGGACAGGGCAAGGGGGGATGGCTTCAAACATCCAAGTTCTTTGGGATCAAGATGAAGGCTCCTGAGGAGAGCAGCCTTTCTTCTTTCCTCTTTCTTTCTCCCCAGTTTTTAAATGCCTAGTGACCACATGCAAGAACTTATAATTGCTTTATCTACATGGGTAACATATTTATGGCTGCCTAAGGAGATTCCCCTCTGATTTGGAAAATCTAAACACAGGGGGCTCTATAAGGAACAGAGGTGGCTGGAAAGGAAACAAGAGGAATGGCCTTGTGGTGGGGAAGGGTTTTTCTATTCTTGGTGGTTGGTTCTTGATCTATAATGCCCAACCACCCAAAAAACTGCAGCAACAGAAGTTTTCCACTTGAAATACAGCAATTCCAGTGTTTTGATGTGATGATTTCTAGAAATCCACACGTAACTTTGTTGAGCAGCTTTAAAATTCAAAGGTATTTGGGAGTTGTTTTCTATCCTTGAAACAGCTTCTCCTGTGGATTGGGATTAGGGGTTTTATCCATTTCCTTTATTCATTTTATCCTGGTCTTTTTGTAGTTTCTGGAATTGTCAGAGGGTTATGACATGTCCAGCTGTGGGGTCTTCCTCTCACCTTCCTCTTTTCCTTTCTGTGCTGTGCTTCCTTTTCCTTCCCCGAGGCTGGGCTCAGATCTTCCAGAGGGACATTTTCCTTATTTGTGGACAAGCTGCCCCTGCATTGTTCCATCATTCTTCGCTCTGATTCAGCCTTTGTTTTGCAAAAATGTTATTGTTTCAGAGAGTGGGAAGCACATCCTGCTCTCTCAGGATAATTTGATAATAAAGTTCTTTAACGGAGTTTCGTGTATCTGAGGAATAATGCCTTCCCTGGGAATTCTGGAGAGTTTGGAGATGGAGAGTGGGAAAGAGGGCTGTTTTTTTTTCTGGAGTGAGTAATGGTTTGCCATGCTGTGTTCCAGTACATGTTACCATGGCGATGACTGCAGGGACCACAACATCCTTTCCCATGAGCAACCACACCCGGGAGAGAGTCACAGTGGCCAAACTCACCCTGGAGAACTTCTACAGCAACCTCATCATCCAGCATGAGGAGAGGGAGACCAGGTACTGCCTCTGCTCCCTCCCACCCCTCTGCAACTTTTCCTGCTTTTGGTGGTGCTTGTTCTTCCATCCCCGTGGGAAGTTTGAATGTGTTGGTCAGCACCACTTGAGCTGCTCCGAGAGCCCAGTCCCGTCCCTGGAGTGCTGAAGTGCCACTTGAGTGAAGCATCAAAGCCCCAAGTGTGTGATTGTGATGAGTGTTGTGTCTTAGATTGTCATTAGTGTGTGAAATTATCACTCCCCTGGGAATATGTTTTTAATTGAGGGGTTTTCACTCAAGCAGCAAGGCTTCTCTCTTCATCACATTTACTTATTATTCCATGTAATGGAGTTGACTCCAGTTGGGAGAACAGACTGTCTACTGAGGGATTTTGATTTGGAGGATCCTGCTGTCCTTCCCCGAGTGCAGAAAGACACCACCAGCCTTTCAAGTCTTGGCTGCTGCCCGTGAATAACCAGCCTTTGGAAAGCTGCATCCTGTCAATGCTGTCAAGAAGTGTCCTGAGGGTGGAAAAAGAGGGGTCCAGCAGCCACATTGCCATGTGCTGACCCCCTGCCAGCTGTAGGGTATTCCCAGGCTTTGCTCCCCACTCAGAGCCTCCTGACCTGGCATGGCACAAGTTGGAAGAGCCTTGGACTGGTGGGGGTGAAAGCTGGAGGTTTTGGAGGTAGAGCTGAGACAGAAACAGTGAAAAAGCCATTTTTATTCTGCTTTGTAATCCTAATTGATAAAACCAGCCTTAATTCAAGATGTATATGAAGAAATGTAAGTCATTAGAATGATTATTATATATTTAATGCCTAATTCTGCAAATCCAGAAGTATGTGCTTAAATTTGCTTCTTTGTTTTTGACAGCTTTGGGCACAAATGAGTAACTGGGTGGAGTGGGCTGTGAGCCTTTACATTTTCATTTGAGGCAAATTCTTTAGTGTTTGGAACATGTGAAGCAAAGGTGTTGTCTTGCTCCAGTGTTATGTTTGGGTTTTAGTAAATAATCCCCTGTTTCTCCCCTTGGCAGGCAGAAGAAGCTGGAAGTGGCTATGGAAGAGGAAGGCCTTGCAGATGAGGAGGTAAAAATATTACTTAAATAACCTTAAAAACTACTTAAAAAATAGGATTTGAGGAGCCTACAGAAACATCACCCAGCGAGACAGCAAGTTTTATTTTGTAAAGTGTTGCCCCTCTAAAAAAACTTGCTTATTAGGGAAGCTAGGAATATGCTTGAATCATCCTTCCAATAAGCTGGCTAAGGCTTTTCATGCCACCCTTAGTTCTTATGACACATGGCCACAGCATGTTTTTCAAAGATTAAAATTGTTTGCTATTATATTTGGCAAGGGAAAACAGGGTAGGATGTGCTTAGAAAGCAAAATGCTGAACCATGTTTCCTTGATTTAAACAACAAACTGGCCCAGCTTTGCTCTGTTTGGATGTGGATGCGGATGAGGAGGGATCTCTGGTTGCCATCTCACAGAGCTTTGGTCACCAAGTTGCTTTTTTGAGGTCCATTACACCATATCTGCCCTCAGGATAGGCAGGGAAATAAGTAGGAAGAGTGGTTGGGTCATTCCTGAGGTTTTGTGGATCTTTTGGGAAGCGGGAGAAGGAATGTGGGTGTGTGATGCCATCTTGTGGCTTTAAACGGTGCTGTATCCAGGCACAGAGTCTGGCAGGTGCCTGAGCACCAGCAACACCTCTCCTTTTACATTTGCCTCTCTCACTGGGATTCCAGAGAGAGAAGGGAGATTGCATATCCTGAGTTTCTGCTGTCAAATGACTAAGAAATTCCCGTGTTTCCTCAGAAAAAGCTGCGCAGGTCCCAACACGCTCGCAAGGAAACAGAGTTTCTGAGGCTGAAGAGGACCAGACTTGGCCTGGATGACTTTGAGTCTTTGAAAGTTATAGGAAGAGGAGCATTTGGGGAGGTTTGTGGCATTAAAACATTTTAATTACAGAATAAAAAGTTCCAGGTGGGGAGTTTTATTGCAGAAGAGGAGCTGTTTGTGCAGCTCTCCATGGGGGATAAGTCTGGTAATTAATTACTTGCACCAATTTCTCAAAGCCCTTGGCTTCCCATGGCTTTCTAAGTTGATGTTGCCCATGAAATGATGGATTTGCAGTTGCACAACTCTTCATAAACCTCCTTCCTGCCATGTGTCACCTCAGTTATATCCACTCCTGAATTTCAGCTTGCACAGTCCCAGCCTGCCTGGAATTTACTGTGTCTTCTCACTTTTCCTAAAGCCACAACTGTGTGTATGCCATGTAGAAATATTCTTTTTTCTACTGTACTTTTAAATATTTAACAAAAGAACTTGTCCATGCCTGGCAATTGGGAGCCTTCCAGGAGAATTCCGTGCCAGGATGTGGTTTCTGATGCAGGAAAGACTGACTGGGTTGTATCTCCCATCACAGGTACGCCTGGTTCAGAAGAAGGACACAGGTCATATTTATGCAATGAAGATCCTACGAAAAGCAGATATGCTGGAGAAAGAGCAGGTTTGTGGTGTACAAATCCCCTAAATTCCAAACTTAGCCTGTCTAGAAAATATTTGCCATCTTTGAAGCCTTTGAAACCCCACGAGGGTCTGTGGAGTTGCCACCACAGCACAAAAGAAGCAGAAATTAGGAAATAAGGTCATGGAACAGCATTTTAAAAATATTTGATTTACAACCAATTTGGAATATCAAGATGGATCTTATAGTACTGAATCTGTAAAACTCCATTTCAAGGGAAATGTTTCTTGAGAAATAATCCCTTCCAAAGTAAAAACTCTTTTAAAGGTGAGATACCAACAGGTGTTTCATTGACTTTGTTTTCCTTTGTTTTGCTTTTTAAGTTGGGTTTTGTCTTGTTATGGTTCTTTGCTTTGATTTTTTTTTTGGTTTGGTTTGGTTTTTGCTTTGACTTTTTAGCTAAAAGTACTTTAGCAAAGAAATCAAGGGTGGATTTCTCAAGTGAAAAGGCAGATTAAAAGTAACTTTAGTCCAAACCTTACCCATCATTTGCCTTGTATTTCACTAGAGAAACACTTCCATCTTTTCCACCAGCTTTGTCTATTCTTTCTAACAAACAAAACCAGCTTATGAAGTTGTGTTTCTAGAGATTTCTTTTGTAAAGTGGTGTGAACTGTTATTTTCAACACTGAGTTAACTTCTGTGGGTTTCTGGGGGATAATTTTTGAGGACTTTGTAGGATCTAGTAAAAAAACATGACAAATGAGTAGAAAAAACACATGAAAATAAGGGGTTTCTGCTAAGCATCATGAAAAATATTTTATAGGACTAGGAATATAAAATTATGTTGAAATATTTCATTGTCCTTTAATAACAGTAATTTAAAAAAATTTCAGGTGGCCCATATCCGAGCAGAAAGAGATATTTTGGTTGAAGCAGATGGAGCCTGGGTAGTGAAAATGTTTTACAGCTTTCAGGATAAAAGGAATCTTTATCTGATCATGGAGTTCTTACCTGGAGGTGAGCTGTGTGCTGTGGCTTTGGGTGGTACAGGCATTTTTTCCTTAACTTTTGGTTAAATGAAGTTCCAGGCATGTGACCATTCCTGATTTTTAGGGGAAGGGGAAAGGTTATAAAGGGGTGTTAAGTAGACTTGAATTAAATAACTATTCTACTACTTACTGCTGGAGTTATTGACAGTAAAAAGAAATTACGAAAAAACCATTGTGCAATAAGTGCGTTAAAATTCACTATGTTTTTCTGGGCTATCCAATTAAAATTCCTGTATAGGATTTTTAACAGCTTCACACCCACTTTACTGAAAAAGTCAGTTGGGTTTGTAGGTCCTTGCAGTAACAGTTTTATAATTAGTAGCTGTAAGACCAGTTCCAAGGTTAAATTTGGATTCTACTGGGGTTTCTTAGAGTCACTGAAATGTTCTGGTTCCTAAGCTGGGTTTTCCTCTCCCTGCTCAGGAGACATGATGACCTTGCTGATGAAGAAAGACACCTTGTCAGAGGAGGAGACACAGTTCTACATCTCTGAAACTGTGCTGGCCATAGATGCCATTCACCAGCTGGGATTTATCCACAGGGATATTAAGCCAGACAACCTTCTGCTGGATGCCAAGGCATGTCCTGTGCACGTTAAACTTCCAAGATCCCAGTCTGTAGGTCACAGTGCTGCTTGGTGGGAGCCAGTAGTGCCACCACCATGATTTAGAAATGGTCACTGTACTTTCCCTGTGTGCTTAAACAAAGCAAAATCCCCCTTGGGTTTTGTTGGGAAGCCTTACAAAACAGGACTTTTAAGGGAGAAGACTCACTTAGGGTATCCAGATGCTCATATTCATTAAAAAGTGATCCACTTGCTTTCCTGCACCTTGAAGTAACTGGAACGTAATCAGTTGAATTCCTACAGTTCTCTGATTTTATTCCCCCTCACGACACTCTCAGACTGACCATAAAGTGAGCCCAGTTAATCTCCACAAAATCCTGGAATTACTGAATTTGGAAAAGACCTCTAAAACCATCCAGCCCAACCATTATCACAACCTACACAAGGCTGTCAGGTTTGAGAGGTTCTATCCAGCACTGATGCCTGGAAACCTGATTAAAGCCAAAACAAGGCAAAGGAATTTTGTCCTGGAGCATTTCTTAGGCACAGTGGTATCCAGTTCAAAACAAACCCAGGCAAAGTAGCTGCCCTTAGCTATTGTAAAATTGTAGATATGACCATTTTGGGAGAAAAATAACCTGTTCGAGAGAAAACTCACTCTGCCAGTACATCAAGGTTCAGACTTTATTTACCTGCTTGTCCTGTGAAAGTGTGTGCAGTTATTAAAACCTTTATTTTCCCAAGCACTGCCTTTCTAAATAATGTTTTCATATTCTCTGATTTTTTTTTTCTTTTAGGGTCATGTAAAGCTGTCTGATTTTGGGCTCTGCACAGGTCTAAAGAAAGCTCACAGGACAGAGTTCTACAGGAACCTCACCCACAACCCACCAAGTGACTTCTGTGAGTATAAGCTGCCCCAGTTAAACACTTAAATAGTTTGGAGCTGCAGCTGTACATGGGACATGTGTTTCTGCTGGGATAAGCAAGACTGGGCAGGCTGATTGCATTTCATTGGAAAACTGGAAATGCTTGTTCCCTGGGACAGGAAAGAAATTATGATTTCTATGGTGTTCCCATATGTTTGCACATTAGATATGAATTCTTAATGTAATGTGTCTATAATTATAGTAATTTAATGTTCGTGAAGTTACAGAAATGATCCTTCAGGAGGGTCATGGGATCCATGTGCCAAAGAACTGGAATCAGTGACAATCTCATGAAGCTTTTCAGAAGCTGATCTTGGATCAATCTCTAAAACTTTTAGCAAGTTCTAATTTAGAATTGCTGGTTATATGTCCTACTTACATGAGTTTCATGTGAATTGGACAGTAGTTATTCTAATTTCCCCCTTGTTTCAGTTATAACTGAATATTTGTTTCCAGACTAAAGGATTCTAAAGATACAAAAGTTATTGTTTAAGAATGAAATCTTACCCATCTTTTTTCTCTTAATTCTCATAAATTAATTTATTATCTAATAAGTATTTTTCAAATTAGCATTTCAGAATATGAACTCCAAGAGGAAAGCAGAAACGTGGAAGAAGAACAGGCGACAGCTGGTGAGTTCATTAAATAATATTTGGGGGTTTTTGCCCCAAACCCTCAAAACATAAATCATTATGTTTTGGGAGTGTGTTGGCACTGGACTGTTGGCAGTAGCGTTATAGTGAAGAATGGTCACATAATAAAGGGAGCTTTGGCATTAACTGAACCAAAGGAAAGTGTCTGTCTCTGGGATTGCAGAGTTTCATCCCTGTCCATGATTTTCCCCAAACAGCAGCTGCAAAAATATTCAATTTTCACATTTTGTGACTTTTTATTTTGCACACTCCATTTAAAAAGTGATCTACTGCACTATTCCCAAAAGGTGTTTTGGGTTGTCTCTTCTTCCCTCATGAGACATGCTGCCTTATAGGAACTCTATTCTACAGCCCTCTTCCTGCTTGGAATTGGATCCCTGAAAAAACTGCATCTCCAGGTTAGTAAAGACAGATGTGGCAGAACTGTGGAGGTAGACCAGTCCAACAGAGAGAAGAAAAAGCCAAAATCAACTTGCATCAACATTTTGGAAAAGGAGCCCCATTTTTGGTTTTCCGTTGGTTCAACTCTAAATGTCCCAGGTCTGTTGAATAAAATGCAGAGCTACCTAAAACTCTGGCTAAAATGTCCTTCTCCTATTGCAGTGGGAATATTCCCTGATTTCAGCACATTTAGGAAGATGATTTCCATTTACTTGCAAGGTTCTCTGTGTTTACTCATATAAAAGAATAATATTGGGATTTTATTTACTGTGAATTTTCATACTTATTCTTGTCCATCCAAATATATGTGTGTCCTAGTTAGAATAGCTGGGACCGATTCATCACTGGATGGGTGTAGCCCAAAACTCTGTATTCTATAGCCTTCCATGCCATTTCCCAGAAACTGTTATCAGTAGAGACCTGCAAAATAGGAAGATGTTCCTGTCCTCATACCCTTTTATGGAATTTCCCGCTCTGAGGGAAGGACTGAGCATTCCTGCCTGAACTGGAGAATATGTAAACTTGGAGTTTCAGAACCTTTTTGCCACTCGTGGGATCCAGAGGAAGACTGCAGCTCACCGCTCTCAACCAGACTGAGACCACCACCCTCAACTGGACTGCAATCACTACTTTTGACCAGACTGCAACAGCTCTCCCACCAGCAGATTTTTCCCCTCTCCCTTTACTTTGGACTCAGGGGGGGCCCAAGGGTGCTGGGTTATACATTTGGGTTTTGTGGGTTAAGACCAATTGTTTGTCTGTATAATCGTACTTATTGTATTATTTTATTAAATTGTTATTCTGACTTATAATCTCTCTTTTGAGTTGAGTTCATTTCTCCTGCTGGTTAACTTTTAAACCAGCACGTTTTTGGCGCCCAACGTGGGGCACGAGAGAGAGAAGTCAGAATCACAATTTCATTTTAAGCATTTGTCTATTTAGATATAGAAACTCCCTGACCACCATGTTGTTTGATGCATTCACGTGGATGTTGTATCTGAGCCTGTTCATATTTCCACAGATGGGGTACTATTTGCCTGTTTTGATGCTCTCTTTAAGACCAGGGAGAGGGATCCAAATTGCTTTATTAGTATACTATGTTTATGTCATCATAACATCAGAAGCAATGAGTTTCATTGTAAATGTGTATTCAGTCTTGTTCGCCTGTCCTGGTTTGGGTTGCTACCTCTGGGACCTCATTAAAAATCGCACTCAGCCCTTTGGGGGAACAGGAGGGAATGGTTGTTTCCAGCCTCTCACCTCCTTCTTCCCCTTCAGACCTGCTACAACAGTTTTTGAAAATATTGAGTTCCCTTTTGATGTTAAGGACAGCATAATGTTATTGTTAGTGTTGCTTTGTCTGCTCTATACTGTGTACACCATGTTTAGGGTCAGAATAGGGCCTTCTAGGGAGGTTGTTTGGACACCTGTCCTGGGAGTGGATAATGCTGAGTGGCACGGGAAATGGGAGGACATCGGCCAGTATTTGGAGAAGTTTTCTCCTCCCATGATCTGGAAATTCACCCCTGAACAACTGCAGGATCCTGTTAGCATGATAAGACTGGTGAAGGAAAATGCTCTGTCAGCTCCAGAGATGGCCAACTCACAGCAACCTGCTGGGCCCTGGCCACTGCCTACCGGACACTACTTGACATGGTACAGCACTGTCAGGGGGAGGAGAGAAAGAGCAAATCCACAGGCACCACATCCACCCAAACCACAGCTGAGTCAGAGGGAGAAAGAAATAAAACAACTGGCACCGTGTCCACACAAACCATCGAGGAGCCAGAAGAACAACCGTAACCAATAGCAGTCGCCCCTATCCAGAAAAGGAAATAAAAGACTAAATCAGTCCGTATAGCAAATGATGACGAAGAGGCAGGACCTTCACATCCACTGGAGGAGACAGAGCCAGAAATAATCACTCGGTCCCTATCCCTGGGTGAGCTACGTGAGCTCCGGAGAGAGTTCACACGACAGGCGAATGAGTCCATTCTGACCTGGCTGCTCCGAATCTGGGATGCCGCAGCTAACGATACCATTCTAGATGGGAGTGAAGCCAGACAGCTGGGATCTCTGTCTCGAGACATCATTGATCAGGGGATTGGAAGGAGGCAGGAAACTCTCAGCCTCTGGCAGCGACTGTTGTCCAGTGTGAGGGAGAGATACCTTTGTAAGGAGGACCTCCACGTACAGCAAGGACAGTGGAACACGATGGAACAAGGTATCCGGTGCTTAAGAGAATTAGCTGTACTGGAGATAATCTTTTCAGAGGATGAAAGATTCCCTAAAAGCCCAGATGGTGTACAGTGCACATCCCAGATGTGGTTAAAGTTTGCACGAATTGCACAACTCGGGCCCGAAATGTATTCCCACTACTTAGCAACGCTGCAATGGAGGGAGGGAGAGGACAAGGCGGGTGCATGGGTTAGTAAACTCAGGATTTATGAAGACACTGTCACTGCCCCATTACGAGCCCACATCTCATCTGTGGAAACCAAACTGGTTGAACATGTCCGAAACCTGGAAGAGAAGATTGAAGAGGGACACCAGAAGCTAAGAGAGGAAATTAAGGAAGGGATCTTCCATATCGCACCAGGACAAACAAGAGTCTCTGCTATTAGGAGCCAGCGTCCCCCAGCTAAGGAGAGAGAGCACACTCCACGTGGCAATCTATGGTTTTACCTCTGTGAGCACAGAGAAGATATGAGGAAGTGGGATGGGAAACCCACCTCTTCCTTAGCAGCCCGGGTACGTGAACTGAAAAGAGGAACAAGTACCACAAGGAACTCTTCAAGGGTAAATGCTGCTCCAGTCTCTCGTGGGCAAGACTCCAGACGGTACAGGAATGATGATACGTCTGATCCTCCTGAAGGGATCTCCAGGTCATACTCATAAGAAGAGCACAATGAGTACCATGACCAGGACTAGGGGTGCCCTGCCTCTAGCCAGGTAGAGGACAGGGACAATCGAGTCTATTGGACAGTGTGGATTCAGTGGCCTGGCACATCAGAGCCACAAAGATATAAGGCCTTAGTGGACACCGGCGCACAATGTAGTTTGATGCCATCAAGATACGTAGGGGCAGAATCCATCTCCATTTCTGGGGTAACAGGGGGATCCCAACAGCTGACTGTACTGGAAGCTGAAGTGAGCCTGACTGGGAAGGAATGGCACAGACACCCCATTGTGACTGGCCCAGAGGCCCCGTGCATCCTTGGCATAGATTACCTGAGGAGTGGGTATTTCAAAGACCCAAAAGGACTTTGTTGGGCTTTTGGCATAGCTACTGTAGAGACAGAGGAAATTAGACAGTTGAACACCTTGCCTGGTCTCTCAGAGGACCCCTCTGCTGTGGGACTGCTGAAGGTTGAAGAACAATTGGTACCGATAGCCACAGCAACAGTGCACCGTCAGCAATACCGCACCGACCGAGACTCTGTGACCCCTATACATAAGATGATCCGTGACCTGGAGACCCAGGGGGTGGTCAGCAAGACTCGCTCACCCTTTAATAGCCCTATATGGCCAGTGCGTAAGTCCAGCGGAGAGTGGAGGCTGACGGTGGATTACCGTGGACTCAATGAAGTCACACCACCCCTGAGTGCTGCTGTGCTGGACATGCTGGAGCTCCAGTACGAGCTGGAGTCCAAGGCAGCCAAGTGGTACGCCACCACTGACATTGCCAATGCCTTTTTCTCTATTCCTTTGGCAGCAGAGTGCAGGCCACAATTTGCTTTCACTTGGAGAGGTGTGCAGTACACCTGGAACCAACTGCCTCAGGGGTGGAAACACAGTCCCAGCATTTGCCATGGACTGATCCAGACTGCACTGGAAAAGGGCGAGGCTCCAGAACATCTACAGTACATTGATGACATCATTGTATGGGGGAACACAGCAGGGGAAGTCTTCGAGAAAGGAGAGAAGATAATCCAGGTTCTCCTAAGAGCTGGTTTTGCCATTAAGCGAAGTAAGGTCAAGGGACCTGCTCAGGAAATTCAGTTCCTGGGAGTGAAGTGGCAAGATGGACGCCGCCTAATTCCAATGGAGGTGATTAACAAAATAGCAGCTATGTCCCCACCAACCAGCAAGAAGGAAACACAGGCTTTCCTAGGCGCCGTGGGCTTTTGGAGGATGCATATCCCCGAGTACAGTCAGATTGTAAGCCCTCTCTACCTTGTGACACGGAAGAAAAATGATTTCCAGTGGGGCCCTGAACAACAACAAGCCTTTGAACAAATTAAACAGGAGAATGCCCATGCAGTAGCCCTTGGGCCAGTAAGGACAGGACAGGACGTGAAGAATGTGCTGTACACTGCAGCCGGGGAGAATGGCCCTTCCTGGAGCCTCTGGCAGAAGGTGCCTGGGGAGACCCGAGGACGACCTCTGGGATTCTGGAGTCAGCTATACACCAACTGAGAAAGAGATCCTGGCTGCCTATGAAGGAGTTCGAGCTGCCTCAGAAGTGATCGGCACCGAAGCGCAGCTCCTCCTGGCACCCCGACTACCAGTGCTGGGCTGGATGTTCAAGGCAAGAGTTCCTTCTACACATCATGCTACTGATGCCACATGGAGTAAGTGGATCGCTCTGATCACACAGTGAACCTGGACAGGGAATCCTAATCACCCTGAGATTCTGGAAATTATCACCAATTGGCTCGAAGGTGAGAGTTTTGAACTATCCTCTGAAGAAGAAGAGGAGCAGGTGACACGGGCTGAGGAGGCCCCACCATATGACAAGCTACCAGCAGATGAAAGGCGATATGCGCTCTTCACGGATGGCTCCTGTCGCATTGTAGGGACAAACCGAAAATGGAAGGCAGCTGTATGGAGTCCCACACGGCGAGTTGCAGAAGCGACCGAAGGACAAGGCGGGTCAAGTCAGTTTGCAGAGCTTAAAGCCGTTCAGTTGGCTTTGGATATAGCTGAACGAGAGAAGTGGCCAAGACTCTTATCTCTGCACTGACTCATGGATGGTGGCCAATGCTCTGTGGGGATGGCTGGAGCGATGGAAAAAGGCTAACTGGCAGCGCCAAGGGAAACCCATCTGGGCGGCAGAGATGTGGCAGGACATCGCTGGCTGGGTAGAGAAGCTGAGTGTGAAAGTCGGTCATGTAGATGCTCATGTATGCAAGAATCGGGCTAATGAGGAACATCGTAACAACGAGCAGGCGGACCGAGCTGCCAGGATTAAAGTCTCTCAGGTAGATCTGGATTGGCAGCACAAAGGAGAATTATTTCTGGTTTGATGGGCCCATGATGCCTCCAGTCACCAGGGGAGAGATGCAACATACAGATGGGCTCGTGACCGAGGGGTGGACTTAACCAAGGACATTGTCTCACAGGTCATCCATGACTGTGAGACATGTGCTGCCATCAAGCAGGCCAAGCGGGTGAAGCCTCTATGGTATGGTGGACGGTGGTCGAAACACAGGTATGGGGAAGCCTGGCAAGTTGACTACATCACGCTCCCCGAAACCCGCCAAGGCAAGCGCTACGTACTGACCATGGTAGAAGGAAGTACTGGATGGTTGGAGACATACCCCGTGCCTCATACCACTGCCCGGAATACCATCCTGGGCCTCGAAAAACAAGTCTGTGGTGACACGGCACCCCGGAGAGAATTGAGTCTGATAATGGCACCCATTTCAAGAATGGCCTCGTAGACACCTGGGCCAAAGAGCACGGCATTGAGTGGGTGTATCATATCCCCTACCATGCACCAGCGGCTGGAAAAGTTGAGCGGTGCAACGAACTGCTGAAAACCACCCTGAAGGCACTGTGTGGGGAGACTCTCAAACACTGGGAGCTTCATTTAGCAAAGGCCACCTGGTTGGTCAACACCTGAGGCTCCATCAATCGAGCTGGCCCTGCCCAATCAGAACCTTTGCATACTGTAGATGGAGATAAAGTCCCCGTGGTGCATATGAGAGGAATGTTAGGGAAGACTCTTTGGATTAGTCCCACCTCAAGCAAAGGCAGACCCATCCGAGGGGTTGTTTTTGCTCAAGGACCTGGTTTCACTTGGTGGGTAATGCAAAAAGATGGGGAGACACGTTGTGTACCACAAGGGGACCTAATTTTGAGTGAGAATGGTTTGTAATGTTTCATTGTAGATATATATATATATATATAGGTGTATATAGTTTTAAGGAGACAGTTTTTAAGGGGGTTAATTTGGGCATGACATGGATGGCATAGAATAAGGGGTGAATAATGTCCTAGTTAGAACAGCTGGGACTGATTCATCACTGGATGGGTGTAGCCCAAAACTCTGTATTCTATAGCCTTCCATGCCATTTCCCAGAAACTGTTATAAGTAGAGGCCTGCGAAATAGGAAGATATTCCTGTCCTCATACCCTTTTATGGAATTTCCCACTCTGAGGGAAGGACTGAGCATTCCTGCCTGAACTGGAGAATATATAAACTTGGAGTTTCAGAACCTTTTTGCCACTCGTGGGATCCAGAGGAAGACTGCAGCTCACTGCTCTCAACCAGATTGAGACCATCACCCCCAACTGGACTGCAATCACTGCTTTTGACCAGACTGCAACAGCTCTCCCACCAGCAGGTTTTTCCCCTCTCCCTTTACTTTGGACACAGGGGGGCCCAAAGAACACCACTCTGTTCATGCCCCAGGGTGCTGGGTTATACATTTGGGTTTTGTGGGTTAAGACCAATTGTTTGTCTGTATAATCGTACTTATTGTATTATTTTATTAAATTGTTATTCTGACTTATAATCTCTCTTTTGAGTTGAGTTCATTTCTCCTGCTGGTTAACTTTTAAACCAGCACAATGTGAATGCCCAGGAAAAGGTTTTGCAAAGTGTAAAACTGTAATGTTGATCTTTTAAAGAGTTTGTTCCTTTTTTTTCTTTTTCCAGGCCTATTCCACTGTTGGAACCCCAGACTATATTGCACCAGAAGTGTTTATGCAGACTGGGTACAACAAGCTGTGTGACTGGTGGTCTTTGGGAGTGATTATGTATGAAATGTTAATAGGTAAGTTAAAGAACTTGAAAATTGTTCAAAGGTAACATTTGTCAATTTGTTCAAAAGAGGAAACTTTGGGGCTTGTGAGATTTGGGAGCCCTGCTCACAAAAGCAGAGGCCCAGGTCACTTTGCTCTCCTGGGAAAAGCTCCTTAGTTTCCTGTTTATTTATGCAGGGTATCCACCTTTCTGCTCAGAAACCCCACAGGAGACTTACAGGAAAGTCATGAACTGGAAAGAAACGTTGGTATTTCCTCCAGAGGTGCCCATTTCGGACAAAGCCAAGGATTTAATCCTAAGGTCAGTAAGAAAAGCCCCATTTGTTCAGCCAGGGGCATCTTCCATGGGATTCAATTCCTGTTCTGCAGGAAGGAAGTTTCACGTTGGAGGGACAGTTGGTTTCTTCTGTGTCACCATCCTTGATGGATTTTTTTCCCCCCCCCTTTGCCATGTGTTTCACATGAAGGAATAAGCTGGAATCATCTTGATTTGGACCATGGTATCAGGAGAAACAGAGCAGACAAGGAAAAAAGGAGAAAAAAGGGATTAACACACAACTTTTCTCTTCCCAGAGGAGACTAAGAAATAACTGCTCACCAGCATTTAATGCACTGAAAAGAAATTTTTGGATGCTTTGGATTTGCTCACTTTTTCTGAAATTCCAGTTTTTAATCCATTTTAATCAGTTTGCATGGAAGTTTTTGTGAGGGGTTTCGTGACAAGGTCAGGCAGAAATGCTCCCTTGTCCTCAGAGGTTTTGAGAGGAGGGGAGGTGGGTGGATTTTGGCTTTGGTATTTTTTCCTCCTTTTTTTTTTTTTCTTTTCAAAATTAATATTAGAAACTTCCACAGTTTTGTTGCAGGCAGAAAGGGGAATGTACTTCACAAAATTAGAATTTATTATTATTTATTATTCAAGCAATGCTGCAGTAGCACACAAAAACATAACTAATAAAACAGTGATCCTGAATCCAGTTGCAGTGATACCAACAGCTCAAATCATTTAATTATTGCTAATCCTCATTGTGTAAAACAGTTTTATTGCATTTTCAGTATCTATTTCTCCAGTATTCTGCTCAGCCTTCCTGCATGTTGTCAGCATCCCGAGTTCCTTGCCGGGGAATTCTTCCTCCTCAATCCTGGCTTGAGGAGGAAGCCTCCTCCTCCCCTGCTTGGGGAGTTCTTAATTATTTCAGTATATTTGTTAGTGTGTCTTGCTCATGAATTTACTCATACAATGACTACTGGCATTTATTAGTTTGTCTCCATATATGGAAAGATTTATATTAGGGTCAAACATCTTTAGTTGGAGATAATCTACTAAAATGAGGTCAAAACACCCTGCCTATGCTGCCAAGTGTTTCCCATTTCCAGGAGGTCTCCAGAGGACTCCACACTGGGCAAGACCAAACTTTTTTGTTTGTGGGTGTCATATCATGTTACAAAGCTCCCTTTTTGTGTGAGCTCCCTCACTGTGACACCTTTTGCCACCCTCAAAGAGTCTGCAAGGGCAGCATAAAAAAAAAATGTAGCACATACAAAGGACAGCTGGGATTTAAGGAATTCCTGAGTGAGCATTGGAATTCTCACCCTCTCCTGGGTGAGATGCTTCAGAGGCTACTCCAGCCTCTGAGTAAGGAATTTAAGCCTCCATTCCAAACTAATCTTACAGGGCTGGAACATGCAGCAACTTTTCACAGACCTCTAAGATGGGGACGCAAAAGTTCAGAAAAGGTGGAAGTTGTTGGCATTGTAACTTTTGTTTTGTGACTCACAATATTCTGCTTCTATTTTTCATCTCTCCTGGATGCAACCTCCTGAAATTCTTGCTACAGGATACTGTTGCTTCTGGTTGCATTTATTGTAACATTCCCTTTATTTTATTTCCCCTTTTTCAGGTTTTGTACTGACTCGGAAAACAGAATTGGTAGCAACGGAGTAGAGGAAATAAAAAGTCATCCCTTTTTTGAAGGAGTAGACTGGGGACATATCAGGTAATATATACACACGCATTTTGGAGAGAGAAAAAAAGCCATGAAAGCAAGAATTTCTTGTACTATGATGTCAAGGATGATTATTTCCAATTTATCTTTGATTTTGAAAGGCAGCTGCAGGCAGTAGGTGGGTGTTCAGGCCTTGCTGACACTCATGGATCTGATCGGAGTTTAGCTGCCTTGAGATGCCTCAGGTTGCTCTGGATTTAATTGTAACTGTAATAATCACAGCTGTCTGAGTTCCCAGCTGGAAATGCTTGCCTTTCCCACAGGGCTGTGTCCCAGTGGGAAGGCTTTCGTGGGACATATCCCGTGGGCAGTTTCCAAACCACCTTAAAACTCTTTCCAGGGCTCCCTAATTGTGGAGCTGCTGAAGCAGGAATGTGTCAGAGACAACCTGTTTGGGATGGGAGATGCTGGTGACAGTGGCAGGAGCAGAAGCTGCAGTGGGAAGGTGCTTGGATGAGCACTGGGATTGGAAAGCAGCACATCTGATGGCTCCAAATGCAAGCAAAATCCTGCTGGGCTGGGTAGGCTGGGCCTGTGATGGCAGTGATACCTGGGAGCCAGATAAGCCTGGAATGCTCTTCCAGTTAATGGGAAAATGATGTTTTCCCCAAGCCTGCCAGGAAGATCCCAGTGCTAGATAGGGAATGAGTGAATGCCAGAAACAGGTGAGTCAGACACACCTTGATGGTCCCAGGGGAACTTTTGTGCTCTGAATTAAAGGGGTGTTGTACTGTAAAAACCTGAGTTAAACAAAACTGTAATTTGGTGTCTTTTCCTGCTATTAATTTATTTCTGCTTGCAGGGAAAGACCAGCTGCAATCCCGATAGAAATCAAAAGTATTGATGATACTTCCAATTTTGATGAATTCCCTGAGTCTGATATTTTACAGCCAGGTGAGACTGTCACTGGAAATTCCACGTTTCCATCTCTAACAAGCCAGAAGTACTCCACAGGAGCTTTGCTTGTTGTTTATATTCATCTTTCTGATACCCTCATACTCAGACTCCACCTAGAGACTTCCTTTGAGATATAAGTGTAAACCTGGGATCCCTTAGAGTTTCTCCTTCCTTAGGACTTTGGAGCAGAAAATAAAAGAAACCCAGAAAATTTAAGAGTTCAATCAATTAGTAAAAATAGTTTGCACAGACAGTGAACACAGAAAGCAGTACAGTTTCCTGTCATGCATAAGAATTATACAAAATCTGGGTTTGTGGTTTTCTTTTTTCTGAAATGGCTTTTATGTAATGACAAGGAAATTTGTCCTTTGATGGCTTTGCATTAAAATCTCCTTTTAATGCAAAACAACCTATCTCTACTGCCTCAGTAAAGCTGTTTAAGTCCACGTTTGAGTAATGCCAAGAGCATTTGTGTTGTTTTGGCACTTCAGACCCACTGGAAGTGATATTGTACTTGTAGATCCCTAAATACAAACTTTGATATTGGTGTGTTTGGCATTTTAAGTTGGAAATATTGTTACAAGGGTATAAAAGCAGCAGCCAGAGAGGTAAATGTAGAAGTCCAGTGACTGTCAGCGTGCAGGATGGCAGCCTGCACATAAATGAGGCTGTGCAAGCCTTGCTGAAGCTTTAAGCAGAGAAGAAGTCCTTGGAGAGTTAATATCCTCTTGGGAGAACTTGGATATGTCTTGTTTGTGGTGTGTAAATGTGTTTGTTGTGCTTAGAGCATCGTAAATGTTATGGGTTTTGTAATCCTGTCTCCTGTGGGTGTGTGAGAGGTTTCTCTCAAGGTCTGGGAGCCTGGTGCAGTGTGTAACCATAATAAAAAAAATCCCCAAACAAACAAAAAACAAACCCTTTTCAACTTCAGAATTATATTCAGAAGCTGAAAACTAAGAATATTCAGAAAACTCAGCTCTTCTCAGACCATTGACAAAAGGCAACTGACCTGATTAAGCACAGGATTTCTTCCAGGAATTTCCACTGAGAGGGAAGTAAGAGTTCAGGGCTATTTATATCTGTGAACAGTCCTCTCAGAGGCAGCACTGGTTTTAAACTGTTTGGGTTTTTTCCCATGTGTTTGCTTTTGTCTCTGAATTCCAGTGCCAAACACAACGGAGCCTGACTACAAATCCAAAGACTGGGTTTTCCTCAATTACACCTACAAGAGGTTTGAAGGGCTTACTCAGCGTGGCTCCATCCCTTCCTACATGAAAGCTGGGAAATTGTGAGGCAGGACATGAACCCCCAGAAGGAATTGAAACCACAAACCTCAGGTAGTGCATCACCAGACCCGCTTGGCGTTCGTTATCAACACATTGACTCTGGTGCGCATCGACTTCACGTGGAAATTCTACAGGATTAGGATTTCTGAGACTACTACAGGAATTAGTTGGCAGTGCCAGCTGGCTTGGTTTTCATTTTGCTTTGTTTTCTTTTTTCTTTTTTCTTTTTTTTTTTTTAAATATTTGAATATTTTTGTTAACTTTATTATACAAAGGTACTGGAATAAAAGGAACGTGCATCCCTTTTCCTGCACTGCCTATGTGTGGATAACGGTTAATGCTGCCTCTCTGTACTGTGGCTTTGTTTGTACTGTAAACCATCTAATCCACCCAGGAGGGAAAACATATCATTTGGTGCAGCGTTATTGTTGGCCTGCTCACCTGCTGGGGTTTAGATATGCAGTATGAAAAAAAATAAAATTGCCCACATTTGCCAACTTCTCTGAGCTCGAGGGTTTTCCATTTGTGGGCTGCAGATACCCCATGGAATTATTTTAAATAGCAGTGTCCTGCTTCTGCTCTCATTTTCCCCCCAGTCTAGGACTTTATCAGCCCATCATCCCTTCCTTTTCCCACTGTGTGTGGCAGTGGGATCTGTGGTCTGTGTAGGGGCATTTCTGATTTCGGTAGTGGTATTTCTGATGGATATTGCTGCTCATGGTGGTGATGCCTGCTGGCAGCTCCAGGAGAATAGAGGAATCTGAATAGAAACGAGCAAGATGTTGTTTAACAGAAGGGAAACATTCTGATATACAAAGTTTTGAAGGGATGGTGGAGTTTCTAGGACTGCATTCCTGCCTCTGCTGTATAGCACATCATCTTAGTGCTGCTCATAATTCAAGCACCCTTTTCTCTCTGTGCAAAATGTACTCTAGAAAAGTGATCAAATTGGGGCTTTTTCTTTTTTTCTTCTCCCTAAGAAGTTCCAGGCAGAAGGAATCCTTTTCTTTCCAGAATGCCCTGGAGCAGCTTCTGCCCAACTAGAGGAAGTGGAGTGTCCCAGGAGGCTCAGACTCTCCAGTGGGCTCTGTCTCCTTGTAGTGTCTCCCTCTAATTGTGGCCATGGGATGAACACCAGTGAAAGGCACCCTAAAACCTCTGCAGCCCCTTCAGATTGAAGCACAGGATGTTTGGGCATCCAGTAGGAAAGACTTCATTAGTCTGGCTTTTGCAGCAATATGAAAGTGACTGTTGGAAAGCCAATAGAGAAATACTTATTGCTGTATCAGCTGTTCTGAAGGACCTGTATGCTTTGGAAACACACTGTGGGGGTTCATCTGCTGCCTAAGAGACCATTTACCAGCAAGATTTCTGTGCATCAGTGCCTTTCTGATGTGCAGGTAGCCTTTCCTGATCCAGCTAGGTTCCCTGATCCAGCTGCTGGGTTCATCCAGGGCTTCAGTGATGTCTTTCCTCCAGTGTTTCGTCTCCCTTCAACCATCTCATATCTGTTCTTTATACAAAAAAAGCTTCAGTCTCCAGCTCATCCACGAAGAGCAGCCAGTGCCTCAGGGCCCAGAGTTTACACAGGGTTATATTTGAACATACCTAAGCTAAACTTTTGCCTCAGTGCTGGACCTAGGTGGGAACAGCTCATGGATCTCCCAGATTTTCTTCCCAGACCTTGTGCTAATTAACGCCCCTTTACTGCTCTTGGGACAAGGTCTCTCAGAAATTCTCCAGTGTGCTGAAGCTCAACCTGTGGCCATCCAAAGACTGTCCAAAAACAATGACTTTCTTAAATCCACCCTCCAGACTTCATCCTGCCAGTGCCCCAACAGCTCCTGAGGCTTCTCAGGAAAGGAAATGCCTTTTCAAAGGCCTTCAGTTCAAGGCAGAGGAGCTCAGGCAGAAAACACCCGAGATGAAACTTGGCCCCAAAAGGACACTGCTATTCAAAACAATTTTTCTTGGGTTTCATTTCCAGGCTCGTTCCTGGGGCACTGTGTGCACTGGAATTGGAATTCCTGCAAGCACCACCTTAAAAAAGCCCACACTGACCCTTTTAACATGACCTAAAAACAAGTCTTTGCTTGGACTTGCTATGACAAGTATCATGGAAACTGCAAATGCTCAGTGATACTGGTGATCTGGTTTTTTTTCCTGTGGGGTTTGGGGAAGGGCAGATAAATACACAGTTTAAAGCTATCTATTAAACAACTATGTCTGTACATACTCACTGGTTTACAAACTCGGGCAAAAGCTCACCCCTCTATTTGTAACACTCAAGGTAATACTACTCATTTAAAACTGCAGATGATTAATCATATCAGTGCTCACATAGGAGTTATATCCATAGGGAAACAGCCTGCAGCCTATCTAGCATAAACTCCTGTATTGTGGTAGTTGATTTTTTTAATTATTTTTTTTTAAACATAGCATTATTTTAATCAGTAAGTCAAGTTAAACAATATTAACTGCTGCTTTTAGGATGATAGGGGTTTGGTTTTTTTAAAGGTGAAACTGTGACACTATAATGGATTAAAGAGAACAGCAGGTTATTGTACACTGGCTTTCAAGAAAAAGTGGAAGTACAACATATCCTTTGTTATTTTTGTCTGATTCCTTTGGATGGTTGTGTGTTTTCCTTTGGTGAAGTTTGTCACTGTGCCATTTATTTTTCTTATTCTTGGAGTACCAAAGATCCTGAAATGGCTTGATGATTGCAACCATGTGAAAATTTATTTTCTGGGAGTCTGTTTTTGTTAAACTTTTGTTAAAACGTGGAATTGTTGTATGCAAATCGTTAGCAGAGCTTTGCTGGGAAGTTTAACCTATTCCAGCAGGGAAAACTTGAGTGCATCGATGGAGGTGAAGAGCCTGGATCTGAATTCCCTGGAACTGGGGAGGAAGCTTGGATTGGGAGCTGCAGCTGCGGTTTTGCACTTCGTGCCATCTCCAACCAGCGGGAGTGAGTGGCCTTAGGTACAGGACATCAGCAAGGCTTGTTTGGAGTGCAGAAGGAGTTTACAAAAGGAAAACTTGCCAGCATTCAGAAATCCAGTGTTGCACTGTTGAATTTGCCTTGCTGGAGAGTTACATAAGTGTTCTTTTTATAGGTCAGTTGTTAAACACCTGAGCCGTTGGATTCAGTATGGAAAACAGCCCCGGAGGGGGGAAGTTCCCCAGAGGGCAGGGATGTGGCGTCTCCTTCCCAAGAGGGGACAATCCCCCTGTGCCACAGCCAGCAGGGAATGCTGCAGTTTAGCCAGTGAATGCTTAGGAAGTGCTCTCACTTGCTCAGTCCCACAGGCATTGTAACACACTGTACCTTGTCCTTCCAGCACGGGATCTCACAGCAACTCGTCCTCGGAGTCGAAATGGCAACTGCTCTATTTTTCCTAGACTGTTTCATTAGCTGTGGTTGGGAAAGTTACATAGAAGCATTATAAAAATTTATATGAGGCTTTTTACAGCATTTGAAAATAAAAGTAGCATTCTTTTTGTAAAGTTGTGGTTTGGGGTTTTTTTCCACACTGATGCACCAGATTTCTCTTCCAGAATGGGAGACACCTAAGGAATTGAGACACTGTTTACTCAGGAAATGATTTTTAACAGAATCTTACAAATTCTATTTTAATGGGATTATCTTTTTCTTCCCTTAACTGTATCTCAGAGCTACATCTCATGAGAAAACACAAGCTTAGTTCTTTATCTCCTTGCATCACCCAATTCAGTATTCCTCCAAAAAAAAAGCACTTTATGGCAAATACAAAGGCAGTGCCTTCAGCTCACACAAATTTCTTTAAAATCACATTTTAGTTTAGCATTTATAAAACATACTGCAAATATCTGTGCATTTTTAATTGCTTTACTCTTCTACAAAGTGTGCCTTGTACCTAAGCAAAACAATTATGCTTTGGACAATAAAAGAGCTTTTTTTGACAATCATCCAATGGAATATCCAAAACAATCTGTCTTGGGAATGAGGACAGTAGTGGTTCCCAGCTTGAAGTTAAGGAAGTGCTTAATGTATTTGTAAATGTAAAGGGTTGTCAGGCATTGGGATGGGCTGTCCAGGGAGGCGGTGGAGTCCCAATCCCTGGAGGTGTTTAAGGAAAGACAGGAAGTGGCACTCATTGCATGGTCTAGTTGATAAGATGGTGATCAGTGGGAAGTTGGACTCGATGATCTTGGAGGCCTTTTCCAACCTAAAGGATTCCATTTCTCTAAGGCAAAGTGATTTATCACATGTGTAGATTTTAAAAATCACAGATGTTCTGAGATGCCTGTCCCACAGCCGAAAGCAGTTTCTAAATGCACCCTGTGAGCCGTGCTGGGTTCAGCTGCTCCAGGCTCTTCACCACAGAATTCCAGGCTGCCTAAGAAATGTCACCATCCAAAGAGCACCAGATGCACTAATATTGGGGCAGTTGGAGAGCAGGTTGGTGTGTATTACACAATGGACTTCCTGTCAGTAGTAATGTTACCAGTGCAGTGGGTGTGACAGGAGATTGATCTTTCCGATGCAGAGAGAGCTCATCTCACCTCCTCCTCCTCTTCTTCCTCCTCTTCCTCCTCCCACCACCCTCCTCAGATTATTTGGTAGTGTCAAGGTCCCTGTTCTGGGGGGAAATGGGATATGCAGGCCTGGACCTTCTGGTGTTGAGGAGGGAAATTAAGGCAGGTTTCTCATTTCCCAGTGGAGCCAGAACTCCCCTTGGAACAGTTTGAACCGACCCTCAGTGCCACATCCTGTTTCTGTACCAGCTGCTTTAATGTTTCTAGTGAGCCGCCAACTGTTGTGGCTTCTCCCTCCTCCAGGAATACCAGGAATATGTGCTCTCCCTACGTGCTGTCCCCAGGCAGTTCACTGCCATTGGTAGCAGCTCCTTCCCCTGCAGGTGTCTCTGCCCACCCTCCCTGCTCCAAAGACAACATCTTTGCCCTTGTCTCTACAATTCCTACCCTGGAAACTAAAGGATGATCGGGTGGCTTGGCATCAGAGCGAGGCTGTGACCTTGGAGCTGTTGTGTAAAGTCACTACAGCCCCTGCTCCACATTTTACAGGAGAGACTCCAGGTACAGAGAGCAAGTGTTACAGACACCCTGAGCCGAGGTAACACCTCGCTGCCTCCCAGGGATGGGGGCACGATCTGCCCCTCAGGATGGGCTGGAATACGGAGGTGATGGAGCTCCAACATGAGGCAGGTGCCGAGATACTCCCCCCAGCCATGGCTGTGTGCATGTAGACTCCACAAAATAGACTGGAAATGGAAACCCTGAGTTACAATTTATTAATTTAAATGCCAAGAGCGGCCCTGGGGAGAAGGACTTGGGGGTGCTGGTGGGTGAGAGGCTGCACATGGCCCAGCCCAGAATGCCCCCGTGCCCTGGGCTGCACCCAAAGCAGCGTGGGCAGCAGGAGAGGGGGGGATTCTGTCCCTCTGCCCCGCTCTGGGGAGACCCACCTGCAGTGCTGCCTCCAGCTCTGGGGGCCCAGCACAAGAAGGACATGGAGCTGTTGGAGTGAGTCCACAGGAGGGACACCAAGGTGATCAGAGGGATGGAGCAGCTCTGCTGTGAGGAAAGGCTGAGAGAGTTGGGATTGTCCAGCCTGAAGAAGAGAAGGCTTTGGGGTGACCTAATTGTGGCCTTCCAGGACCTGAAGGGAGTCCTACAGGAAAGATGGAGAGAGACTATTTCCAAGGGCCTGGAATGATAGGACAAGGGGGAATGGCTTCAAGCTGACAGAAAGCAGGTTTAGATGGGATATTGGGAAGAAATTCTTCCCTGGGAGGGTGGGGAGGCCCTGGCACAGGTTGCCCAGAGAAGCTGTGGCTGCCGCATCCCTGGAATGGTTGAATGGGGCTCTGAGCAACCTGGGCTTGTGGAAGGTGTCCCTACCCCTGGCAGGGGTTGGAACGAGATGATCTTTAAAGTCCCTTCCAACCCAAACCATTCTATCATTTGAACACACCAGCGATCCCTCCAGTGTTCAGACTTCCTCAAAAACTGCAACAGCTCTGCCAATTTTGGGCTCTTGATTTCTCTGTTCTACTTCTGACTTCAATATATCTATTTAGTGAACAATCAGATAAGAATCTCAGTGACTTTTTGATCATGAGGGGGTGAAATCACACTCATGTCAAGATTTTCAATCCAGCAACTGCCTTTGAGGTCTCATCCAACTCCCACTGACGTCAGCAGAAGATCCCTATCTAAAGGCCAAAGAAACCAGGAACAAGGATGGTCTCCAAAGGGAGCTGGTTGCTGATGCCATGCCTTGGTGTTCTTTACCAATGAGACAAAAAGATTTCGCTATCTCTGCAACTCAGTGGGTTGAAGATCAGGCTCCAAACACCGTGTGAGAAACTTGCAATGGTACTTTTGCAGTTAAAGAGGAAAATACTACCTATTTTTTTTATAAACAAAAGGAAACTAAAGCCTCAAGGAAGCTTTGCAAAGTGTACAACTTATTTAAATGCCTTTTTCTCAAAGGACACCGGGTGGGATCTCCCTGATCCCGACTTGGGGGCTGCCCCTTGTGCACCATGGGCACATTTGAATTGCTTTTCATTCCAACCGGCCTCCTAAACAGCTTTATTTATCCTTGGGAAGATATTTGTAACAGCAGCCCTGGTTGTCAGAGACATTAGGCTCTCACTAGGTATTCAGAAAACACCAGTTTCTGCCAGGAATGAAAAGGCTATTTAAAAACTGAAGGTTTTGGGTTTTTTAAAATCAGAAATGGCACCATCAAATTGAGAGACTTTTGGGCAAGAGATTTACAAGCAGGGGAATTACTTTGTAGGCACAGACCTCACCAGCCAGGACTTCAAAATAAAGCAGGCAGTTTGGAAAATGTTAATCTTTCTTTTCTAACTTGGTTAGAAAACCCCAAAGTCATTATCCTAGTGACTCCAATACTGAGATCAGAAAGGGAGAGCAAGTAGGATTTGGATGCTCTTCTCCAGTTAAACTTGTTTCATCATGCAAGGAATTTGTTCATGATTCCCAGATCTCTATATCACTATCCCAGTTCAATTGGATTCACTGAATAACATAATTCATGCAACTCCACTTCCTGGATTGTGCCAGCACAGTTCATTGCTGACAAAGCCTGATTTTTTTGTGATGTTTTTTAATTCTTTGAAGGGCTTCTGTGCTAATTATTGAGCAGAAATAACTTTAAAGGGCTTATTTTTGTTAGTGGCTGATGACAGTATGATTATGCTATTTCTATAATTTTTGAAGCAAAAGGCACTCTGATTTTGGGAGGAACTTTTGCTTTAAAATGCCAGCAGGTTTTACTAATACACAGACACAGAATTTATAGCAAAGTCAGAAAATTGCTTGTGGTGCCCTTAAAATTAATCCAGAGGCCTTCAAGCAGAATAAAATACAAACAGTGACCTAAAATAGATTTTAAAAAAATATTATTTCTGATAACTAGCTAACCTGTTCACATGTACTCCATAAAACCACACTGGATTCAGGACACAGGGATTACTTCGAGCCTCATGTCTGAGGGGAAACCATAAACACTTGTGTTCTGGGAGAGGAGATTATGAAAAATGTGTTTGTCTTTCCAGTGCTGAGTCACTTCACTGCTATTAAGTTTCAGGAGAAAAAAGTTGGCTGGCTCACCCTGGGCTGTCACCTAAGGATGTTTGTGTGTGAAGTAACACAAGTGTCCCTAATAATGGAGAGGGACTCCCAGTGTTCTCTCAGAGGAGGAGAGTCACTCCTGGATTCTGAGATGGGTGCTCATGGAGAGAGCTTGGCCCTAGCAAACATATAAAAATTAACATCCCCTTCAGGATGGCATCCTGCCTGGATGCTCCTGGGAAACAGCTAAGACATGAGTGTGACAGAAAAGCAAAAAGGAGGAACAGCATAGCCACCTTTACTGCTCACTCCCAGGCCATTACTTAACTGTCCCGAGGTCTGATTGTTATTTTTACCCCTTTAGCAAGTCGTTGTATAAGTTGTTTGGAAAAAAAGAGGCTGTCCCTTGCTTACATAAAACATTCTGTTCCCTATTTTATAGCTGAAAGCTACTCAGGAGAAAGTGCTCACCTTAAAATGGGGCAAAAATATCAAGTGTGGCCTACTCAAAATCAGTGCCTTACATAAACTGGGCTCTTGCTCTGCCAACACTCAAGGCAAACTCTGTGCTATAAACACCAGTTACTGTCAGATGAAATGCTCAGTGAACAGGCCAATCATCACCTGTGAATAAGAAACAAACGTAATAAATGATGTCTAAAATTTGTGTTAATGATTTGGCAGCACTTGATGGTTATAGGAATTATGTAAGTGCCAGGTGACATGCCATTAATTTCTGTGTTGAGTTGCAAGTTCTTCTATTGTGGCACTAGAAATTCTGAAATGAAATGTGACTGAGGGACAGTAGCTCTGTTTCTAAAGAGTCAGTTAAAAAAAAAAAAAAATTTAAATGTCCTCATTAATATTCCCATATGGAGAGAGTTTGTATTTAAGAGCTG